ACATATATATATATATAAATATGAAAATATAAATATAAAATATGTATATATATATATTTATACGTATATATATATTTATATGTATATATAAATGTGAAAGATAGACAAAGATGTTATCTTCCTGTATTCTCGGTAAGGAATTAGTCCTGAAGTTAGAAGGATTGGAGGTAGGATTGAGGTTAGAAGGTAAAGTAACGAAGAGAGCATACCGCTTTCGGCTTCTGCAAACGACAAGAAAAAAATTGCAAATCAAAACACTTGGATAAGAAATGAACTGACACCAAAAACCAAAAAAACAAAGGCCAGAATGAAAAATAAATAAATAAATAAGTTAATAACCCACAACACTTTGATTTGAAATTCTCCAAATCTACTTTTCCCTCCTTTTTTAAAAAATATATATATATATTTATTTTTTTAAAAAAAGGATTTCAGCTGGGAATGAAGACAAATAAAATGGAAAGACAGGAGAAAGGTCCAACAGAGGGATAAACATGGGGGTACGAGAAAAGAATATTAATTTTCATTTTGTTCTTTTTTTAAAAAAACTACAGCTGGCAAATAAATAAGTAAGTAAAGCCACCACCAAATTAGAATTTGACAGAAGAGGCCATGGCTTTTTAATGGGCTCAGGTGGAATTACTATTATTTTAGAAATTTCCTTTAAGAGTGCTCATACCAGGGATATTTCAGGGGTGTTATTTTTTTACTTTTCCTTAAAAATTCAAGGAACATTGAAGGCGTATGGACTGTATTTCTTTAACAAGTTCAGTAAGGTGTCCTTATTCCATCCAAACTGCAAAATACAGCATGATGCCTTGAAGTCCCTTTTCACCGAAACAATAGGAAAACATACGCCCAAATGCAAGAGATTTGAGTCACATATCTTTGTTCTCAGGTCTGTAATCCAGCTTAGGAATTGGAAGAAGAACCGATTTCGGTGCTGTTTTCACAACGCACACACTTGTGTGTGGGACAATGGGCAATGCATGTTCCCCAAAGATTCAGTCAACCTTGTGAGCACGTTCCTATGGGCTACAGTGTTCCACAGAAGAGAGAGAGAGCACCATTTGTGTTTCAGAAATGTAATTTATCTTTGAGCAAAAACTTTAGTAGATCATCCTCAACTAGATGATGTTACCAGGGGTGCGATTCAACCGGTGCTAACAACCGGTTCGGTGAGCACGTATGCTTTGTGTGCACGCAGAGCATTTGCTACTAACCTTCTCCAGCAATTTCTATGGGTTAAACAACTGATGCGTGGCAATCCACTGTGCTGAACAGCTAAGCTTTAAAACCAGGATATAAAGCACAGACTAGAGTAGGGGCGGGCAGGTCTGCCCAACAGCTGATCGTCAGAGCAAACTGGTTTGCTCACAGCTGATCCTCGGAGCTATCAGTTCACTCAAACCAGGCCAAACAGGTAGAATTCCATCCCTGGATATTACTGCTGAATAGAAGAGTTGATATGGCTAAGGTATCAATGGTTAATGGCCTTGGTTCTGCTTATCTGTCTGTAAAAGCAAATTCTACATGTAAACCACTCTTCCAATTCTGAGAACCACCTTTAGATTCCTAAATTCCCTGGACTCTCCCTTTAATCTAGAAGAGGCTAATCTGGGATATAACCTCCCAAGTCCTTTTGAAGGCCACAAAGGGTTCCATTCAATTAAAGGGGAAATAGATTGTCCAATACTTCTGAAAGGAAAATGATGTCTGTTGTACATGTTAGCAATTTGCAACAAAAGAAATTATGGCAGAGAAACAGAGGTGGAATTCATGAACGTAAGTGCTAATAAATCTTAGGCAAGCAATTGTTAATATTTCATTTGCGTTTGTTATCCATTTTAGTAATGAGCATTGAGCCTGGGTGAAAATCAAATTTTAGCTTTTCATTTACATTGTATCAAGGGAGCTGCCGAGCACCAGCATTTATTTTCAATATATTCCTGAACGAAATGGTGAAAATGCTGGAGCTCCTGCTTCTCGCAAACAGGATGTCAAATAAATTAGATATTAATATTCGATAGCATAAAACAAATAACTGGGCTCACAGGAAAAAAATATTTTTGCATATTGTTTCTTACAAGAGATGCAAATGACAAAATGGGTTATGATCGCTATAAACCTTGGCATAATTAGGAAATTTGAATCTGGGTTTTCGTAAAGAACTTATTTCAAAAAACAACGAAGCAGGGAGGCTGGAAACCTGATCTGGGGCAAAACCAATCAATAATTGGGGAAGGGGAAATTGTTTTTTAAAATGGCAAATTAGGTGTCAAAGAACTAATCTTCATAGACAGGGGAAGCCGCATGGTTATATTGGAGAAACTCTTCATCTGAGATGTTGAATTTCAGGGATCTATTTCAGGTTTCATAACATAATTCTTCTCAATTTCTACTCCTCATCTTTGATTCTTTGAATGTTTCAGAGTGCTTCCCAGTCCCATCAGTAGGTCAAAGTTTGTCCAGTTCTGTGAAGATAACCGTGATGGGGTGTCAGATGTGGCTGGCAAATGTACTTGGACTATTATTAAAGGAGAATCTTTGTAGCTCGGGGTTAAAATGAGGGGTCCTTTTGATGCTCTTTGAGCTTGGTGGTTCTCTTGCAGATGTTTCATTACCCAATGACTAACAATTAAATAATTTGAGTCAATGTCTGCAGGAAAACAACCAAGCTCAGAGAGCACCAAGGACCCCTCAAATGTACCACTGAGCATTCAACAATTCTTCTTCTACTCAGATTTTAATCTAAGTAGGAGAAAAAAACAGAAAGAGGGAAGCTGGGGGAAAAAAAAGCACCTCTTTTTTTGCCTTGAACTGTGAAACAGAAGGAAGGATGTTCTAAATATTAATGGAGATAAAGCTAGAAGATGTTGGATCAATTCTGGTGAAATGTCTGGTGGCATTGAGAGCCATAAAGAAAGCTAACTTCTCTCCCTTGACTGAGTCTACCAGTTGGGAAAAAAAATGTACTTTTGCCACATATAGCATTATGGAGAAGCAGAGCAGAGTGAAAGGATTACTCTAATGAAGAGTTTGTAACTTTTTTATGTTGTTGACATTCCTCAATTTGGATTCCAGTGATGGAACAAGTCCCCTGCTCTATTTCTTTGGGGTTACTTCAGCTTCTTTTGAAAAAAAAAAAAACAGTGATGGGAAATAAAACAAGAGGCTGCAAAGATGTAAAAAACTACTTAGGAAAAGAAAAAAAAA